CTGCATAACACAACCTATACTTTTCCTTGAGACCACTTATCACAAGTGTGTAAATCAGGGGTTGCCAACTGGCATGCCTCATGCTGAATGAGGTGTGGGGTCCTGTTTTGATTGACATATTGCTTAAAATTTTCCAATTTGAGTTACTTTAGGCTGGGGCATGCCCTCTCTGGCTTGCTGTAGTCCCCACCATTCCCTGTCATCTCATGTGCAGCTCAGTTCATTCATTAAGTGCCTGGTTCAGGCAGACATTTGTGTTTGAAACCGCTGGTGCAATTACTTGGTTAAGGTTTATGTTTTCCAATGGTCTGTGAACCTGGACCTCATCTCTTTTCTTCCCTGCTCCCAGCACAGTACCAACACACAGTGGGAGCTCACTAATTATTTGGTGAATGAGTGAATGACAAATGGACAGATGTAACAGGTCAGCTCTGTGATTATACCCATTTTACAGATAAGGACACTAAAGCCCAGAGAGACCCAAGGTCACACGGTTGATTAGTAGCAGAGCTGGGACAGAGCCTGGCTCCAGAGCTCAGCTCTGGGCAATTACTTGATATTACCACAAGGTGTCACCTAATCCCACAGAGTCTCCTTCTTTCATGTCTAAACTGTTGTAAACTCTGCTCTAGCTACCTCCTGAAGCTGTTATGAAGATCAAATGAATAGTACATATGGCAGTGTTCTAAAATTCAGAAGGGATATAATATTATTAAAAATATTCTCATCATCATTTTCCTTCTAAAACCACAACTCCCCTGCTTAAAACCCTTCCATTACTCCCAATGGCCTCCAGAATCAAGTTCAGTCTCCTTAACCTGGCCCCACCTGACCCGCCCACCCCTGCCAGCCTCTCTAATGGGCTCCTTCTCTCCTTCCTTCTGCCTCACCTTGTACTTGTACCCAAACTGAGCTGACTGTGATTCCTTGGTCCCCCTGCCCTGCCCTCCCCAAACTGTGCTGTTTTCTCTCTCTGGAATGCTCTGCTCTCTCCCCCGCCTCACTTGATTATTCCCTACTGCTGCTCGGAGACTCAGCTCAGGCATCACCATCCCCTGAAGCCTTCTCAGCCCCTCCCTCGTGCCCCCTCTGGGTCCCCACAGCTGCCATGCTTAGCCCCATCACAGCATTTACCATATGTTTCCGGATGAAGATGCTTTCTGAGTCTTTCTTTCCCAACAGCCTGTGAGTTTCCCAATGGCAAGGACTGTGTCTTAGTTCCCATGTATCCCCGGTGCCTAGTCTGGCACAAAGTGAACATTTGTTAGGTCTCCTTACAATGCTCATGTATTCCTTTCATAGTCAGAAAATAATATGAGTATTCTGTCCATCAATGTGGACAGAAGGGATCCCTTCTCAATAATCCATTTATCATTTCCTTGAGGACAAGATGCTGGGTTCAGCTGAGGATTTAGTCATTCATCAAACCAGCATTTCCTGAGAATCACCCAGTGCTTGCCACTGGCCTGGTGCAGATCCAAACGAGGCCTGGGGCCCGAGAACAGTGCACTGGCATGGAACAAGATAGAGTAACCAGAAGGGTAACTAGATGCTCTCAGTCTGGGGAGAAGCGCTGATGGAGGAACCCGGGAGGTCATCATGGAGGAGGAGGCATTGACATGTGCCTTCAAGAATGAGTTGGGTATCAAGGGGTAGAGGGTCCAGCATGGAGAAAGGTGAGGGGTAGGGTCTGGGGAATTTAGAGTCACTAAATAGTTCCACAAGTTCCATATTGTGTGTGAAGGAGGAGGTTAATGGGAAATAAAGTTGGAGTCATCTCGAATGCCACGTTAAGGGGTTTAAACTTTACCCTGCAGACCATGGAAACATTGAGAATATGCTCCTCACTGGTCTCACCGCTTCCACTGTGCCCGCCCCCAAATCCAGGACCCGCCCTCAGCCAGAAGAGCCACTCCCCCCGACTGAAACCCTTCAGTGGCTTCACTGAAATGGCTTCTCGGTGCTCTCAGGATAAATAACCCCCTCCCGCCATGGCCTACAGAGCTTACCGGGCAGCGATGGGAACAGATCCTCGTTCGTTTCATAGGCAGCACCCATGGCCGCGGCGCTGGGGGCGGGCGCTGCGGCGCGTGTACGCGTCCGTGTGTGCTTGCTTGCACGGGCGGCGTCGGGGTGCCAGAGCACCGAGTTTTCCAGACCCCAAGCCGCCCAGCTGAGGAGCAGCCGTTGCCCGGACTCCGGACGCCCCGCGGGCTTGGCTGAGCTCAGGCTGGGCCCTCCGCCCCAGCGCCCCCGACCCCGCTCCTTTAGCCGCTCCCGGGAGGGGCGCGAGGCGATCGCCGCGGTGCGAAGTTCCCGGCTCGGCCAAAGACAGCGTTTCTTAGTTTGGCCCAGGGGCTCCCGAATCCGGAGTCATAAATCCCCGGGTTTCCCACAAAGCACAGGATCTTCAGCCAGTCTCCCCGTCTTTCGGTCTCAGTGTTCTCATCCGAAGAACAGGCCTGTCTCCTCCAGGGGAATTGCAGGAACCCGAGTGAGCCGTGGCCAAATAGAGGCAGTGTTTTTGATAATGCTTTGCCATGGTTTGGAATTACAGACTCTGAGTACTGGAGTATCAATAATAAACACTTGAAATGTCCGTCAACTGATAAGCAGATAAAAATGTGGTCTATCCAAAGAAGGGAGTATTACTGGTAAGAACTACTGACGCATGCTGCAACATGGATGAACCTTCAAAACATTAGGCCGAGTGCAAGAAGCCAGGCACAAAAAGCCACATATATGATTCTGTTTATAAGAAATGCCCAAAATAGGCCTGTCTATAGACACAGAAAGCAGATTAATGATTGCCAGAGGCTGGAGAGGGGAGCGTTGGGTCTGACTGCTAACAGGTATGAGGTTTCTTTTTAGGGTGATGGCAATGTCCTGAAATTAGCGATGATGGTTGCAAAACACTGTGAACGTACCAAAAACCATCGAATTTTACAATTTAAATGAATTTTGTTATGTGACTTTTGTCTCAATAAAAAAAGCTAAAAAACCCCCAAACACTTGAGTGCTTACTCTGCATAAGGTATTGCCTTTACTGAAAGGTGCTGTTAGGGGGCTGGCCCCATGGCGCAGCAGTTGAGTGCTGGGGCTCCGCTGGGGCAGCCCAGGGTTCCGATCCCCAGCGGGCACCGATACACCGCTTGTCAAGCCATGCTGTGGCAGCATCCTATATAAAGTGGAGGAAGATGGGCATGGATGTTAGCCCAGGGCCAGTCTTCCTCAGCAAAAAGAGGAGGATTGGCATGGATTTTAGCTCAGGGCTGATCTTCCTCACCAAAAAAGAAAAAAAGAAAGGCATTGTTTTTGTGACCTGCTCAACAACCTGAGGTAGTCACTATGGGCCACAATGAAAGCAGCACTTTTGCAAGCCTGACTCCTAGGCAATTACATGCATTAACTTAATAATTGTAATAACCATGTGAGGTAGTTACACTGTCCCATTCTAAAGAGACAGGAGACAGGTACAGAGGTCAGGCAACTTCACCTGCAGGAAAAAGGACAAGCCAGGCCTGGCTGTGGGCTTGAGCGCCCTCCCCGTGTCCACACAGGCCCACACTCCTGATGGAGATGCTGTGCAGAGGATCTGACAGCAGGCCCTGCCACACCTGATGCCCTTAGCCTGGTGCTTGCCCTATCCTTCAACCCCAGCTGTGGCCAGGGTTTCAGGTTTCAGGGGTCCCTCTAGACTCTTGGGTATCTTGTCCTCACACCTTACCCTTTTTGTTCCCTTCCATTATTCTGTGTGCCTTTCTCTCTCCCTGTGAGGGTCTCTGCAGAGCCTTTTCATCTTTGTGCCCGGCCCCAGCACAGAGCTTTGCACTTAGTGAATGCTACTTTGATGTCTGTTAAATAAAAATTTGATAGGAAGTTATAAAGGGGATGTTTGCTTAGGATTGTGTGGCCAGTTGTCTTGTTCTCTGGTCAAAATCCATCCCTCTCTAAAAACTGAAACTCGCTCACTAAAGTGGAAACAACCAACTAGCCCCGTAGCACACTGGATCCTGATTCTGTTCACATTCCACTCTACAACAAAGAAAGTTTCCCTAGCAATGTATTTATTTTTCATTTAGTCAATTTAATTTTCAAATTATGCCCTAAAATGGCGATTGGTTAAGTGAGACTTAGTAACTTAGGATTTTTTTCGTTTGGTGAGTTCTTTCTAAGGTAAATGTTTCAGTATTTGAGCTATACCATTATAAAACCTGTATTAAAAAATGACATACAGAGAAAGACAAACACCACATGATTTCACTCATATGTGGAAGATAAACTAACACACAGACACAGACACAGAGAACAGTTTGGTGGTTACCAGGGGGAAGGGGATTGGGAGGTGGGCACAAGAGGTGAAGGGATGCATTTGTATGGTGACTGACAAACAATAATGTACAACTAAAATTTCACAATGTTATGAACTATCACATCAATAAAAAAATGGCATAAAACTTAAAGCTCCTATCCTCCAGCTAGAGGATGAGAGATGGGTAAATGCTTGCACAAAGGGATCAAGGTAAAAATGCACGAGCCAGAAGCCATACTTTGAAACAAGAGCTGCAGGCAGATATTCACATTAGGTTATCAAATGGATGCTGGGGTCAAATCCCCAATTCCTAAAAGCCAGCATAGAGTCATCAAGAATACATGATGACAGAAGAATCTTATTTTTCTTTGGAGGTTAGCTTTTTTTAGTAAAAATATTTTTATTAATTAACTGCCTAATTTGTTGTTAGTGCTGTCAAGTCAATTCCGACTCCTAGCGACCCTGTATACAGCAGAGCTGAACCCTGCCCAGTCTTTTTGCGCCATCCTCTCCCCTTCTGGTGCCATATCAGACAATGCTCTATTGATATTCATAGGGTTTTCATGGCCAAGTTTTTCCGAAGTGGGTGTCCAGGTCCTTCTTCCTAGCTGTCTTAGTCTGGAAGCTCTGCTGAAAACTGTCCACCCTGGGTGACCCTGCTGGTATTGGAAATACCGGTGGCATAGCTTTCAGCATCACAGCAACACACAGCCGCCACAGTATGACAACCAACAGGCAGGTGGTGTGGTTCCCTGACCGGGAAATGAACCAGGGCCGCAGCAGTGAGAGCACCAAATCTTAACCACTAGACCACCAGGCTGGCTAACTGCCTAATACACCCTGTAATATCTTTTCTTACATGTTTGGCTAGAAACTCTTTGATTGCTTCTTCATATAACAACTGTGTAACATTCTTTTCTACAGAAAGTCTAATCTTTCCTCAAGCAAAGTTGATAGAAATTTGCTGTTTTATTGACAGTTTAGAAAAGTTTTTTCACCTTCAAATCATATGTCATTAATGGAAAAGTCATATACATTTTTAGGATCATTGTCAAATAATAATTTATTAAAAAAATTTCAAAACATGTTTCTAGTACATTCAGTAGCAAAGATTTACCAGTGGCACACACATTAGGAAAACATACATTAGGTTTCTAGTTGGGCTGATTAAAATCCATATGCCTGGAAAGGTAGTTGGTTATGCTTAATGGAGCTCTTCAGAATCAAAGTGCAAAGCAATGCATAAAAAATGAGTTTGAAAACTTGAAAGAGTTTTAAAACAGGTTTAATTTTTCATGATTTTCCCAAAGCCAGGCATGATATTTATTTAACTTATGGTCTTCAGGGTGTACCTGGAAGAGATACAACACATTAGGAGATGGAGGCCTTATGTTAGTTAGTCAGAAATACATTTTTTAAATTGGCTTTTTAAAGGAATGGTGGAAGAACACCACCTTATGATAATTATACTCAAAAATTACAACCTTTAACCTAATGGGATTCACGAATGTTTAAAATTATACCTTACATTAAAGTAATCTTTTACACTTTGCAAAATACTTTCCAATTTAGTACTGATTTTCACCAGGACCAGGGGTGTGGGCAGTGATGAGTCAAGTATTAACATGCCATTTTCCAGAAGGAGGTTATAGACCCTGAGAGTTAAATGGATTGCTCGGGTCACAATAAATGGTGGCACATGGACAGGCTTGGCCAGACCTACCAGCTAAATGCTGTAGGCCGAGTCATGGACCAAGAAGGCAGTGTACCAAGCCATGCAGCAGTGCCCACCAGCTGTCAGGGTGCCACCCGGATGCCTGTGGGCTGGCCATACTCAATAGAACGGGCACCTGTCTATAAGGCAAATGAAACCAAGATCAAAACGAATAGGCAACCCACCAGCTGGGAAAAAATATTTGCAAAACATATATCCGACAAGGGATTAATCTCCATAATATATAAAGAACTCACACAACTAAACAACAAAAAAACAAACAACCCGATCAAAAAATGGGCAGAGGAAATGAACAGACACTTCTCCAAAGAAGATATACAGATGGCCAATAGGCACATGAAAAGATGCTCAACATCACTAATCATCAGGGAAATGCAAATCAAAACAACACTAAGATATCACCTCACACCCGTTAGAATGGCTATAATCACCAAGACAAAAAACAACAAATGCTGGAGAGGCTGTGGAGAAATTGGAACCCTCATTCATTGCTGGTGGGAATGCAAACTGGTGCAGCCTCTATGGAAAACAGTACGGAGATTCCTCAAAAAAATTAAAAATAGAATGATCCAGTTATCCCACTACTGGGTATCTACCCGATGAACCTGAAATCAACAATCCAGAGGCTTATGCACCTCTCTGTTCATTGCAGCATTATTCATTATAGCCAAGACGTGGAAGCAACCCAAGTGTCCCTCGACTGATGAGTGGATAAAGATGTGGTATATGTATACAATGGAATACTACTCAGCCATAAAAAAAACAAAATCGTCCCGTTTGCAAGAACATGGATGGACCTGGAAGGTATTATGTTAAGCAAAATAAGCCAGAAAGGCAAACACCACATGATTTCACTCATAAATGGAAGATAAACCAACACATGGACAGAGAGAACTGTTTGGTGGTTACCAGGGGCAAGGGGGATGGGGGTGGGCACAGGGGTGAAGAGATGCATTTATATGGTGACTGACAAACAATAATGTACAACAAAAAATTCACAATAAAGGAAAA